TTATGCAGAGCAGACATGGACAGAGCCCGCTGTGCTCTATGGGTGGCCGGGAGTAAAATAGACTCCGTTGTCCGCTTACACCTGACTGCCCTCTGATCTGGTCCATCTAGACAGAAGGGGACAGATCCCCTTCAGTTTTTTTAGCGGACCAGATCAGAATGGAGGTAAGTGGGTGTAAACAGACTTGTGGTTCCTCCACACACCAAAGAAATACTGGTAGGTTAAGAGCCAAAATTGGCCCTATTATGTGTATGTATGAATGTGAGTTAGGGACCTTTGATTATATGCTCCTTGAGGGCAGGGACTCATGTGAATGGATGTAAAGAGCTGCACAGATTGTCAGAGCTATATAAGTACCTTTATTAAATAAATTTCAGTCCAACCCCCATCCATGGCCATGGTAAAACAAAAGAGAGTTTCATGCTCTCTTTGATTAAGTTTTCATAACATATTTCATTTTCAAGTGACTTGTGGCAATCCTCAAGCATGTAAACACAATAGTTGCTTCATAATCTGTTCTATTCACTGTCAAATACAAGTAAAATAAAATAATAAAACATATCTCAACTGCCATTTCATCCATTTAAGGCCATTTTCTAAAGGCTATCTCTATCTTTAGCAACATGTTACATGTTACACCTGTTCTCAGGGTGTAACATGTAATATATTAATAGACACTCCAACCCTCAACCCCTGATCAGCACACTTGTAGTCCACCGACATTTCCTGCAGCTCAGTAACTGAAAGCCTGTACAGAGGTGTGGTCAGAGAGCTGTAGGAAGTGTCTGCAAAAGCCTGACATTTCACTCGCAATCCACTGATAGCAAGTGCAATACTTTCCTAGTCATTTATTGTTATTTTTAAGTATATAAATGTTACTATGGTATACAATGCTAACTTTTATATGCTTTTTGTATAATAAATGGCCTTAAATGGATGATTGGTTGTCCTGATGTATTTTTTGGTATATTACTATTATTTTTTCATTTATATATAATTTTGTATCTTTTGTAATCTAAGAAGATTAAACAGCACTGTTACAAATATGTAAATATAGATTTTCAGTTGAAAGTCAAGAGCTAAGTCCCTTGATTTCATCTCAAACCACTCCCTCTAGCAAATGCAGACAGCAGTGTGATATAAATTCACAAGAATGGCATAGATGTCCTTTAAGGTATATGTAAAGCCAATAGTTTAATTAGGTAATGATTAAAACCCCTGTCAGGTTTTTTTTGCCATCTGTGCCCCACTGGTGGACTGTTCCATCATTTCTTGTCTTGTAGACACAATAGTATTAGGAGGAAATCTCCCTAATGTTAGTGTGCTCTCCTAATTTTCTAAGACTTTTTGTGAATATGTAAATTCTCAATTATGTTTATCACAAGTGAAAGGACTTACAAAAAGGGAACATTAAATGAAGAGCACAGATAAGAGGTAAGAGAGAACTGACACAAGAAGGGCAGCCAAAAAATAGAAGGAGCTGGAATCAAGACATACAGGAGACAATAAACAGCTGGCATCTATGGGCCAGACCAGTCAAGAGGCAGATCAAGAATAAGAAAGCTACACAGTAAGCATACCTAAACTGTCATTAGGCAGATAAGCTAAAAGAGGAACTGACATGTTGAGGATACAATTAAAAAAGTACCCAGAATATAATGGGAAGTACGTGCTGGACACGGGTGAATTGGCATGTAGAGGTAGAATTAGATGAAGGCCCCGCATGATGGTGGCAGACAAGACATAAAGGAAGGGACTAAAAGAAGCTCAGGCAGAAGACAAGGAAAAATGGCTTGAAGAAAGCATTAAAGGGATAAGTAAGGAAGATCAAGGCAGGGCAAGAAAGGACAATGATAAAGTCACATGAGGCAAGGAAGAATATGAAAGTGGTAGGATATGAAATATGTTTGGCAGATAGAAGGTGAGAAAGAACTGTGAGAGTTGGCATGCACAGAGCTGATGGGAGACTTAAAGGAACAAAGTGAGAGTTAGCATGTGGAGAACATATGGGAGACCTAAAAGAACTGGCATGAGGACAGACAAGAGGCAAGGAGGAACTGGATATGAGGAAGGACTAGTGTATATAGGGCATATTGGAGACAAGCAGGAACTGGAATGGGAAGGACTAAATAGATAAAATGAGAGCTTGCCATGATGGCAAACAGAATACAAAGAACAATAAAAGCACAATGACTTAGTAGTTCGCTCTCCTGCCTTGCAGCACTAGGGTTTTTTTATTTGACTCCCAGCTAGGACACTACCTGCATGGTTTTTGCAGGTGCTCCCTGTGCTTGTGAGGGTTTCCTCTGGGTACTCTTGTTTTCCCTCACATTCCAAAGACATGTTGGTAGGTTAATTGACTCTTGTCTAAATTAGGCCTAGTATGTGATGTAAGGACCTTGGACTGTAAGCTTGGGGGTACGAACTGATGTGAATGTAAAGTGCTGCATAAACTGTTGGTGCTGTATAAATACCTGTAATGAGTGACTGTTGTGAAGAATATAAGGTGGAGGAAGGGGGGGGGGGCAAGGAATCCTCACTACCTCACACCTATGGGACCATGACACACAAGGAAGGTTCTAAATGGTTAGGGTAATCTACATACTTGCCTTTAATTGAATAAAGAAGTGTCACATGGCCTGTCAACGGTCCTGGGTACGATCTGGCTCCTATAAAAGAAAAGAAGATGCACACTTAGTGGTCTTTCGGCAATTGACAGCAAGAAAAAGAGTGCATACTACCCTCCCACCCCTTGTAGCGGCCTTGGTTATGTGGTCTTCATCCCTTTCTATTGAAAGGGGACAGTATTTACTGTCAACATTATTAACTCAAGCTTTAATGGATGAGTTATTTACATGATCTTGGTTTGGACTGCTATTTATAGAAGGTGTTTATCCATATGTAATATATATACAGTATATATTTTTTTCATTTATTTATATATAAGTATATTTTTATATTATAACCAATAATAAACAGCCTCGGCTAACTCAATCCAAGTTGTTGAGTCCATTGCTTGTTATTTATCTATGGGTATAGTTCTGTATACTGTTCCATAGGTATAACAGACCTAAAGCTGCCCATAGATTACTTGTTTTTTCTCTATCAGCTAACAGGCTGAATTACAAATAAAAGAACAGATTGCTCCATACACACAAGCGAGGTGGATAAAGGAATCCTCCCTGCCGGACATTGTATTCTGACAGCGGCACTGTTGTCAATGCTCATATCAGCAACTTAAGCTGGCTGATCGAGAAAATTTGTCCAACAAAATCCATATGACAAAAGTTAGTCTAATGATCGACATCTGTTGAACAGGCATATATTGTCAGGTCCCTAAAGACCTGGCTGAATTTCAATCCATCTATGGCCAGCTTTAGCCAAACATAAATACTTTGCCCATCTGCTTCCTCCAGTCAAGAGCCCCTTTGACTATGAGTTAAGGACTCATTTATGAAAAAGCTAGACTAGGAGAAGCTAGCATGGAAAGGTAACAAGTTTAGAGGGAAAAGTACACTAAAGATGGGAGAACTGGCACAGAGACGGGAGACAGAAGACAAGAAAAAAGAAGAAGCAACATGAGGCAAGGGACATTTAGCATAATGGAGAGGTAGAAGAAAATAGAAAACAGACATGAAGGGAGACAAAGTACAAAGGAAAATCAAAATAAGAGGGGAAAAAAGAACACCAAATTCAAGGGGCTTAGTTGCTTATGTTTGAAAAGTGTGGTTGTATTTCTCTTGCTTGTAACAAACCATTAGAATCCTTAAATCCTTAATACAGATAGAACAGCTGAAAGCTGATTGGCTTTCATTGGTGACAAGAAATGTTCTCAATAGCACTTTTCATACAAAAGTCACTAAGGGCTCTATTTGAAACAGTTATTTGCTCTCTATAGGACAACACAGTTTATCCACATTTTTGCTTATTATTTGAGTCAGTCATAAAATGCAAGCTGCGATGTGGAGACTCTGGTGTCTTTGGAGTGTTTTTCGCATATCACTGGAGACCCTGAAAAGAGGAGAGCTTGGTCACATGACTTTAGCTTCTCCTGGCACTTTTCCTTCCCATTTGTTACAGTTGTAGTTCTACCCTCATGAGAGCGACTCTGAAATGGGTATTCTCAAGCTTCCCTCCGCACAGCCAGCCAACAGGTATTTCTTTCACACAGACTTGCAGTCAAAAACAGTGAGCAGTCAATGGGCTTGGTTTTGTTATTTTTTATTAGGGGAATTCAACTTGGATAGGGAAATAGGGATTATGGGATGCCCAGTTAGCTTGAATCAATGGAAGGGGGACACTTCTTTCCTATGTACAAAGGCAGATTCTGGACTGTTCTTTTCCTGAAAGCCATCCATCTTAGCAGATCAGTAACAACTGCCGTTATGGGCAAGGAACTAGTAGCTCCTCAAAAATCAACTTAACTTCTTGTAGCTACATGCAGAGACATCTTCTCTCCCCTTATAGAGCTGCACCCATCTCCACAGCCTGCAAGCACCACCACCCTCCTGGCTTCTCTGAAGATCTCTCGGGACAAAGATTAAAGATAGAGCCCAGTGCTGTCCTTAGAAATCTTGCTACATGTGGCATTCTTTCCCCCTGTAGATCCCAGAGTATACTGCTGTACTCACACTGGCCTTCTTGCTCCCTGCTGCTGGATGTATCCTCCAGAGCCAGCCCGAGCCCAGCCTTGAAGCTGCCCCCCCCCCCCAGACCTAGGGGATCCCTCCTAGGTGCACACAGTCTCCTCAGCACTCTATCTTCCACCCAACTCCTCTGTCAGCCTGACTCTCCCATACTTATAGGCCAGTCCACCACTCTACCAGGGCCTTCAAACCTGGGATTGGCCAGACCCACCATAAATATATAGATTAGGCCTCCACCCCTTCCTGCTTAATGACTTCTGAAAGGTTCTATGGGCCTTCAGGGTCAGGAGGAGGCGATAGAGCTACAACCTGTTGAATCATTCAGCTGACCTGCAATAACCCGACCTTAATCACATGACTCACCCAGAGGCAGACTGACAACTCATGGGGCCCCTGGGCAATAGGGGATCATGGGGCCCCTGTGTCTTTGCCCAAACTCAAAAAAGCCTATGAAAAAGGTACCAGAGGCATCTCATGGGGCCCCCTACTGACCCCGGGCCCTCAGGCAGTGCCTTATTTTCCAAATGGTCAGTCCGCCCCTGGACTCACCCAAATACCATGAGTCACACACAATGATTTTGCCTATAACCCACTACACTACTCTAGTAGCACACTTAGAGGCTGCTACACAGTGAATGAGGCTTCTCTTGGATTGGAGTCATCAAGCAGAGGGCATGTTGATGAAGCACTACACTGAGCTTTTGAAACATGCTCAAAGACCTATTTTTTAAAAGCATTGGTATGGCTGATTCCTGGAGACAACTAATCCCTAATGATGTCCTATTGTTTGAAATACATTGGGCAGAGCCCTATCTGTGGCACCAATTCCAGTCTGTGGAACATACAGCCATCTTGGGTCAGGCTAGTAGTGTGTTTTATGTATACAAGGCACACATGTTATTACAGAGTGTAAATGTGCAATTGTGGAGGTTGCGGTTTACAAAATAATAAACAGTATAACACTATATTTGGATTTCCCTGTTTCATTTTGGTGGTGGCATGGACAGTAGAGGAAGTTGGCTCTGAAATAAGTGGTTGGAGGACTGAGGAGCAGAAGAGGATATCTTAAAGAGGACTAACAAAAGAGTGCTCTGAGACCTTCTTACAATTAGGAGGTCATAGGATGTCTGGTGAGTGAGTTTTTCACAATGTGAATATGGAGAGGCACTTATCGCTGATGATCACTGAATGGCTATAGAAGTGAAATGGAAGATCAGAATGCTCACAAAGAATAAATGGACACTTTACTAAGAGCACTTTATTAAGGGCACTTTATTGTAAGGAACTTTTTATGCATTTGTACATTGGCACATTTGTTTAAATATTTGCTGCATGGAAGATTATCTAGTGATTTATTTCTTTACAAAAGATACATTTTTTATTGATTATTGAGAGATTCCGCTGCACTTTTTGCAGTGCAGTACAATGGAACACACACAGTGCATTGTGGCATGCTGCTGTACACTGTAATGCTGCTGCTTTCTGGAGGTGTGTTGAAGTGCCATTTAAATGACACTGCAGTGCATTATTATGTGTACATAAGTGAAATGGAAGATCAGAATGCTCACAAAGAATAAATGGACACTTTACTAAGAGCACTTTATTAAGGGCACTTTATTGTAAGGAACTTTTTATGCATTTGTACATTGGCACATTTGTTTAAATATTTGCTGCATGGAAGATTATCTAGTGATTTATTTCTTTACAAAAGATATATTTTTTATTGATTATTGAGAGATTCCGCTGCACTTTTTGCAGTGCAGTACAATGCAACACACACAGTGCATTGTGGCATGCTGCTGTACACTGTAATGCTGCTGCTTTCTGGAGGTGTGTTGAAGTGCCATTTAAATGACACTGCAGTGCATTATTATGTGTACAGTGAGATACTTCATATCGTAGTAATGTGCACTTTACCAAGCATTACCGCAATGTGAAAATGAGCCCTAAGGGCTTATAAACCCCAGGTACTTTGGGGCTACTGAATTGTGATGGACTGCATGACACCCTGACTGGGTAACTCTTCCAAACTGCAGCTTCCTCCACTCTGGAACCAGAATATGATGTGAATGTAAAACATATATGTGTAAAGTGCTGCATACATTGATGCCTCTATATAAGTACCTGTAACGATAGATAGATAGATAGATAGATAGATAGATAGATAGATAGATAGATAGATAGATAGATAGATAGATAGATAGATAAATAAAATAATTAAACAATATATAGCAAGCATCAAACAGAACCAATGTTAGAGTAAAACAGGATTGACTTGATTAACAAACAGCACAGCATTAATACACAGAAACCTTCCCCCTAGACAGGTATGGCACACATTACAAGTCCCAGGAGAAAATTATATTGCATAAAACAAATAAACAATCAAACACAAGAAAATAATGGATTCCTTCCTGGCACCTAGAGTATGGACTCTGAAGGTAATTAAACAAAGTGAGAGCTTATCACCTAAACCTAATTACAGAAAACAATAGTTGATGCCAGGAAACCTGTAACAGAAAATAAAGTTTCTTAACCCCAGATATGCTGGAATTCACCCCCTGCACATGACACATGTCTCCAGGATAATAGTTCCACTATGCACAGTATGCCAAGGGGAAAGGGTAGCTGGTATAATTCACAACCAGTTAGGTACCCATTGAAATTATATAATCCTCTTGGAGAAAAGGTTCCTTGTAACCCCAAGAGGGGGTCTCTTTAGTCCTGGGTCCATAGTCGGTGGGAAGGAGGCTGGCCCCCAGGCCCCTCCAGGAGCCCAAGTCACTGTATCTTCTGTGACATGCATGCAGTACGTTTTTCAGCACTGCGAATTGTGACATATACTACCTCATAGTTCACACAACTGTATCAAAAAGTTTCTCGTAACCGTGCGTTCATGAAACAGTCCTAAGTGTTCAAACTGGATATTGCCATATGTATAATTTCTTCACGTTAAATGCCATAACGGTCTGTTGTCTTAAAATAATGTTTGCACGACCTCAGACAATATTTCATTAAACATCACAGACGTAAATGACAATTCAGAAGACAAAACATAATAGGATCGGCAGCTGTTCAGCAGCTGAACAATCAGAACGTGCAGTTTCTGTGCAATAAAAATGACTTCCAGCTTTGCAGGATGATGCAGGTTTCCTGAACACAGGGCTTCCGTGTAAAGATTTTCTGTAACAATTTAGCTTAGTTTCTAAAATATTAAAATCAATTGTTACTCATTATATATTTAAATCCAACTGCAAGTAAAATCTGAAAAATCATTTATACAACAAATATTCTTGCTGTAGCTGCTTTTATAGTGCAATTGATGTAAAGTTGTGTTCAAAATAATAGCAGTGTGTTGAAAAAAGTGAATAAAGCTCAAAATCCTTCTAATAGCTTTTATTTCCATCCACACAAATGCATTGGGAACACTACACATTCTATTCCAAATCAAAACATGAAGAAAAATATATCAAATTTGTGTTGTTCCTCTAAAAAAATTGAAGAAAAGTGAATATTAGACTGCTCAAAAAAATAGCAGTGTTTGTATTCTTCTTTACAAACTCAAACATTCACTATATAAACTGAAAAATGTTTGAAGATTTTGCTTTCCTTTTGAATCACTTAATGAATATTTAGTTGTATAAGCACTGTTTCTGAGAACTGCTGTACATCTGTGTTGCATGGAGTCACCCAACTTCTGGCCCCTGTGAACAGGTATTCCAGCCCAGGATGATTGGACGACATTCCACAGTTCTTCTCTATTTCTTGGTTTTGCCTCAAAAACTGCATTTTTGATGTCACCCCACAAGTTTTCTATTGGATTAAGATCCGGGGATTGGGCTGGCCACTCCATAATGTCAATCTTGTTGGTCTGGAACCAAGATGTTGCACGTTTACTGGTGTGTTTGGGGTCGTTGTCTTGTTGGAACACCCATTTCAAGGGCATTTCCTCTTCAGCATAAGGCAGCATGACCTCTTCAAGTATTCTGATGTATTCAAACTGATCCATGATCCCTGGTATGCGATAAATAGGCCCAACACCGTAGTATGAGAAACATCCCCACATCATGATGCTTGCACCACCATGCTTCACTGTCTTCACAGTGTACTGTGGCTTGAATTCAGTGTTTGGGGGTCGTCTGACAAACTGTCTCCGGCCACTGGACCCAAAAAGAACAATCTTACTTTCATCAGTCCACAAAATGTTGCGCCATTTCTCTTTAGGCCAGTCAATGTGCTCTTTGGCAAATTGTAACCTCTTCAGCACGTCTTTTTTTCAGCAGTGGGACTTTGCGGGGGCTTCTTGCACATAGCTTGGCTTCACATAGGCGTCTTCTAATTGTAACAGTACTCACAGGGAACTTTAGACCTTCTTTGATCTTCCTGGAGCTGATTGTTGGCTGAGTCCTTGCCATTTTGACTATTCTTCTATCCATTCGAATGGTAGTTTTTCGCTTTCTTCTACGTCTTTCAGGTTTTGGTTGCCATTTTAAAGCATTTACAATCATTTTATCTGAGCAGCTTATCATTTTCTGCACTTCTTTATATGTTTTCCCCTCTCCAATCAACTTTTTAATCAAGGTACGCTGTTCTTCTGAACAATGTCTGGAACAACCCATTTTCCTCAAAATTTCAGAGAGAAATGCACTGTAACCAGCATGTACAACATTTGCTGCCTTCCTTCCTTAAATAAGGGCAATAATTGCCACCTGTTTTTCAAACAATGAATGACCTCACTAATAGAACTCCACACTGCTATTATTTTGAACATGCCCCTTTCAATTAGTGATTCAATTACACAGAATCAGCAGCATTCATGTCATGACTGTTGGGTCTGTTGGATTTCTATTACTCTACTACACCTGCTAGTAAATGATTTGCCATGTAGAAATATCATTTCTACCAAAAACAGTGATTGATCAGGTTAGTGATGTCTGACTGCTATTATTTTGAACACAACTGTAGTTAGACTTTAACTGTACTAAGGAATTACTCAGCCTCATCATAGTGGTAGTAAAGTCCATCGTGCTGTTTTATACTGACAAGTAAGCCTGTAATGAGGCTAACCTGTAGGTAGAGTAAATATCTCCTAAATGTGCACCGTTAACCACTTCCCTGCCGCCCTATAACTGAAATACTGCTACAGGGAGGCAGGGCTGTGCAAAATCACGTATATATACGTGATTTTGCATTTCCGGGTAGGGGGCGCACGTGCAACACCTTACCCATGCTGCCATTGGCGGCTACAGGTGTCGATCACCTGGTCCCGGCTGGGGATTCCCCACCGCCACTCGATATAAACAGTGACAGGGGAGAATCCTGTGTGTAAACAGTACAGGTCTCCCTCCTGCCAGCAGTAACATGCTGCTGTGTATTTCTCTGCACAGCAGAGAAGTACACAGCAGCATGTTTCCCAAGTAAAACACACACAGCACACACAGTAAAACAGCACACAGTT